GTTTCTGATTTATGAATAAATGATTCAATTGTTTCAAACATCTATTAAACTTGATTTTGAATTTAATCGTTTTTTTAGAACACCATGTATACCCTCCAATCTGGATGTTGTCTTAACTCCTGCCATCATAATGTTATATTTCCATGGCCAGGCCCATTTTTCTTTCACATTATATAGATTTTTGGTTAAATAATCTACATACTTTTTATTATTATTATGATGTTTGTTGATTAAAATTGTCCAAAAATTCTCAAAGATTTCAACAGAAAATGATTCTAATAATCTATTAAAATCTTTGATGAAATTATTGTAATTATCATGTATTAAAGGCCTTATATTTCTTTTTAAGTTATTATATATATGATATAGACATAAATAATGAAGTGAGCTAGGATAATTCAATTTAATTGATTTTTCAAGTGATAGGTCATGGTCAGACATGATTGTTTTAGGTTCCTTTAAGTATATTGATTTGAGACTTTCAAAGATCCAATTGAAAGTCTCTATATTTTCATGTTCAATTAGCGCTTGTGACAATAATATTGATTTGCCTTCATTATTTATTCCTAATATTAAAAAAAATATCATATCATATCTATTTTTTTTGTAAGTAGAAATAAATGATAATTACATCACTAAATATATTCCAATTTTCTCTTTGAATTGGGCTCATCCAGATTATTCTTGTCAGTCTTCTTGATACTGTATCAATATGTTGATTAAAAAACCACAAAGGATTGTTTTTTTTGTTGCTCTATAAGTTTATTGCATAATTGTGCAGCATCATCACTTGAAGGTTTTCTTGTTGACTGTATTATATTGTCTAATTTTTTGTCATCTATGTAAAAATTAGGATATCTTTCGTAAAGAATGTTTTTAATTTTTTGTTGTTCAATATTTTGTTTTGCATAAGTAATTATTTCAGATCTTATATAAGGTGCAATGTTTTTAGAAGCATGTAGTTTCTTGTCATCTTCAGTAATCACATGGTTGTGAAAATTAATAAACTTTGTGATGTGTACATAACTTTTTGATTTTGGGTAGTTTATATTTATTTGCCAAGGACAGTTTGTTTTTTTAGATGATTTTTTGAGATTTTTTGTTGGATCTAAATTTTTTCTACCAGCTCTTTGGAATCCTGAATGATGACACTTAAAATACTTTGCATGTGGTTTTGTTGAAACAATGCTTGCAACAAATCCATTATAAATTCCAAAATCTCTTATGTCACTTGTTGCATATTCAAGTGTTTTCCAAGTAGTTGATAATGTTAACTGAATTTTTACATCTTTACTGTCATTATCATTTTTACTTTCAAATTTATTGTAACTATCATTTCATTTTTTATATTTTCTATGTTATTTGAGCTGTCTTGCATTTCTGCATTGTCATTATCAATTTGCATTTCTACATCACTATTATTATTATTATCTTGTGTTATATTTCTTTTGTTATCATAATAATTCTGAATTATATTTGTTATATTTGTGTTATTTTTCAATTGATAATTTTCATTGATAAAATCAGATAAATCAGGTGGAAATCCTAATTCAATTAGATCTATATGGTTAAAAAATAAGCACAAGTATCTAATTCTGAATAAAAAAGATTCAGATAATTTCCACAATTTGTTGCTTAGACCAATGTCATTTCCAATAAAATTTAGTACTATTATTCCACAATCTAATGGAGATCTTTGACATGGGATACCAAGTTCATAAAATACATCTGTAAAGTTTTGGTTGAATTTTTTAAAGAATTTATTTATCTGGTTTTTTAAATTAACTGGACAATTACCTCTCAATGAATCACCATAATAAATAGCTGATGATTCTAATGCCAATTTCACAAATGTCCAGTGATTATTATTAATATGTAAAATTATGTATATGTATTTAACTTTGGAAAAATCATATTTATTAAAAAATTTATTAGGTATCTCATAATTCTTATTTCTGATATATTGAAAAGTGTATATTGGTGCTATAATGTATTCTTGAGATTCTTGAGAGCTTTTTTTAATATAATCACTAAATATTCTCATAGCAGTTTCTAAAACTGTATCATTTAAATAATTATCTCTTGCTAATGTGCATAAGTCTGAAATTTTTAAATTCAAATTATTTCTGAAAGGTGTATAGATTCCTTTTGTTTTAATGATTAATTTTTTTATTAATGATGGTTCAAATTTTAGTTCAAGATTTTTTTTACTAGTCCAGTTTACTAAATCAGTTAGATCATCTTTTAATTGAATTGCTGTATGTAAATTTATCATATTGTTTAAATTTTTAAACCCAACTGCTCCAAAGTTTGGAATATTTACTAATGGTCTTTTATCTTCTTCATGTTCCATAAGATTTTCAATACAACGTTCAATATAACTTAAAGGAGGTATCATTGAATTCTTCTTAATTGTTTCAATAATCTTTTCATCAGTTGAATCGTAAGAGTAAGTTATTTTTTTACTCTTATAAATCTTATTACAAGAAATTACAGGAAATTCCATTTCAAATAATTTTTCTGCTGATATATAGTTCAATAAATTATATGTAGTGTTAAAATAAAGTTCAAATCTATATAATAGAATAAGGAATAAAAAATGGAAAATTTAATAATGTAATTGTTATATATATTATTATTATTATATTAATATATATATACTTACGGAATTTCAGAGTCAACATTATTATTATAATTATCAAAATTATCACTATCATTGTCATCATCTTCATCACCATCACTCAAAATAATAGGATTATTGTAAATACTTCCAGTGGTTTTTTGACATTTCATGTTTATTTAACAAGTTAATTGATTTTTGGGAAATTGTTATAGAAAAAAAATAAAAATAAAAATCCTGAGGATTTTTATGAAAAGAATTATAAAATTTTATATTAACTTTAAACAATTGAAAAAATCAACAAATTATAGCATTAATGTGAACTATTCTAAAAATGCAATAGTAGATTGTGAAAAGAAAATTCTTTTACTCATGAAAAAGGTGAGGTATTTTGCCTTATAATATAGATTTTAACAATTGGAAATTTTAACATTGTAACATGAATGTGAGCTGTAATCAATAAGTCAGTCATGTTAGAGTGGACCCCTGTGATCAACTTATCAAGAGAACCAAGTTATTGAATTTCACATGATTTTTTAAATTTAAAAATTTTAAGATATTTATCTCAAACATTAGAAGGTTGCAAAATCAATCTTTTTATACATATTTCTGAACATAATAAAATTTAATAGGAACACAAATGTGTTTCTTCACAATGACATAAGTGATGATATAAAAATGATGATATAAAAATGAAATAAATGTATTGTTCATAATTAGGCAGAATGTTCTCTAAATTCTTGATGATATAACTGATGAATATATTAATGCATTATTTATGAGAAATGAATGATACAATCAATGATACAACTGCCAAGATAATAAAATATTAATGCATTATTCATGATAAATCAAATGATTAAAGCAAAAAAAGTTCTCTTACATCAGATATTTTATTACAAATAATTTTGCAAATGACGAAATATTACAAACAAAAAATTAAATTACACATTACTAAAATTGTAATGATGACCCTTCACATAATGAAATATCACATGAGACTGATTTATTGTGATTTCATTTAATTATACTTGGGCTAAGTGATTTATTGAGTTTACATATGTAGTAGGTTTTTTCAGTTTTTCGCGTAATCTTTTTTGGATTTTCTGCACCTATTAGTCTGTACCACATCAATTAATAATTCTTCCTAAAATAATGAGTTGTTCACTAAGTGCACTTTTGATTTTAATTTGATGTTAACTGTTAACACCCTTGGAACTGTCTGTTAATATTTTAATCTACATTTCTGTGGTTGATAATAATAAATTGATGCATTGTAAACTTTGCTACTAAACAAATTATAATATTAATATTCATGTTCAAGACCTAATGGCTAATACCATGTAAAACATTTTATATATGTACAGTTGCTATTTTTAGTAATTGGTATAAATAATTAAAAGTCAATTATTTATTATTCCCAAACAATAGAAATTGATTGCTATTGATCACTAGCTCTTGAGAAATATCAATAGCATGATCTTCATCATACTAACTAAATAGAAACTAATCAATTCAAAATAAACAAAAAAATTTAATTTTTTTATTATCCACATGGGAAAAAAATTATGCGAACAAATTTCAAAAAAATAAACTTGAAATTTACCACCAACAAAAACAAAAAATTACAGATTTTTTACTATGCTCCCTCCTATGAATTTGCAAGAAAAGAAGCTATCATTACAATGTGTTGAAGTTGTAAAACCTCTGATTTTCAAAAAGGAATTCAAAATTAGCAAATTATTATTGCAAGATGGTTCTGTATGTTCCATCCATAAAGAAAAATATACAGGAGAATCCTACATGTTCCGTCTATAAAGAAAAATATACAGGAGGGTCCGTCTATAAAGAAAATATACAGAAGGTCCTGTATTTAATATGGGTCCTGTATATTTCATCTACAAAAGAAAAAATACAGGAAGGTCCTGTATATTCCGTCTATAAAGAAAATATAGGGAGAGTCCTGTATATTCCGTTCATAAAGAAAATATAGGGAGGGTCCTGTATAGTCCGTTTATAAAGAAAATATAGGGAGAGTCCTGTATAAAAGATGGGTCCGTCCATAAAGAAGATATACAGGAGGGTCCTGTATATTCCGTCCATAAAGAAGATATACAGGAGGGTCCTGTATATTCCGTCCATAAAGAAGATATACAGGAGCGTCCTGTATATTCCGTCCATAAAGAAAAAATATACAGGAGGGTCCTGTATATTCCGTCCATAAAGAAATATACAGGAGGGTCCTGTATATTCCGCCCATAAAGAAGATATACAGGAGGGTCCTATATATTCCGTCCATAAAGAAGATATACAGGAGGGTCCTGTATATTCCGTCCATATAGAAAAAATATACAGGAGGGTCCTGTATAAAATATGGGTTCTATATTCCATCTATAAGTTCTGTATATTTTGTACAAGATGGTTTTGGTTATTTGTATTTTAAGAGTCATTCTTGTGAAGATCAATAATATTAAATTTTGAAGCATTCATTTCATTATAAAGATAATAAAATTTTATTTTTACTTCTTAAACAGTATTATTTTAGAGCCCCCATATCCTACACAACTTCCTCATAATTTGTTAAACCATTGATAATGACATGATTTTTTTTTTAAATAATAATAAATTTATATAAAAATTTATTATTATTCATCACGCACATGAATTAGCAAGGGCTCACGCAGATCATAGGTGCCACTTCCAAATCAGGAAGGTCCTGTATATTCAGCCACAGGACCAGTCCTGTATATAGGATTTTCCTTTTAAATATTAATTGAGTCATATGAAAAACATATAAATAATTGAATTGGGCACAATTAATTTGACAACATGTATAATCACATGGTTTTACACAAAAAATTATTTCACAATAGTTATTCTAATAAGTTTGGTTGTTGCTGACGAAACATTATTTATCAGATAATAAATCTGTCTATTCTCTGACTCCATTATTTCATAATTGCTGATTTTCTATTTAAATTTCCACCATCTTTGAAGGTTTTATTGAAAAATTTATTAATATGCATATGATTTTTTTTTTCTACTGGTGAACAAGAAAATGATTTAAGACCAAATTTTTGATGGATGCTCATAAATTCATGCACATGATGTACAAGTACATGTATATATGGGGTCACATCAGATGCATTATACAAGCCCTCAATAAAATTATTTTCTAAAGGATTACCTTGAGATTTGGTTAAAAATTTCTTAATCCGTAATGATGCATCATTTTGAAATAGCAAAGGATTATAATTTGGATTGCACATATTATTATATAAAGCAGCAAAACCATCCCATAACTCTCTTATTTTATCAGCATGTGATGGAGGAAGAACTTTTTTTAAATCAAATGATTGCAATACTTTTAACTTATCAGGACCCACAAGTGATGTATATGTCCACTGTTTAGAATTTTCAGCCAATGAAAATTTAAAAGAGACTTTAATTCTCTCCATTTCTTCTTGTACAGTTTTTCTTAAAGTTTCGGAATAATTTTTATTGCTCGACTGAGTAATTTTAATTTCATTGAATAATAAACTGAGCAAACGATCTATTACCCTGAGCATTAGATGTAATTCATCAATGACCCAATGATCAAGTGGGATCATTGAAAATAAAGGCTGTCTAATTTGACCATTGTGTAGTTTTGGATTTTTAGGATCATAATTAACTGATAACTCTTCCATTTTTTTTGAAATACTCCAATTTAAATTAAGTTTTCCTTATTGAGATTTATTGCAATTGCACCATGGACAAAAATAGTTTGAATTAGCAGCATTAAATCCAAGAACAGTTGCTAGGAACTTCCAATCACTTGAAATATATAATAAGGATACCAGCTGCAACTTTTGATGATGGTTGCTACCATCTTTGCATCATATAAAAACGATTGCAACCACTGGTTGCAACCACCTTTACAACCATTTTGTTTCCTTTTTTGGATTGCGACATGGAACACTAATATATAAAGATACTTTCCAACACTTATCAAAATTATCTACAAAGCCATTTTGTTTTAAGTCCTTTAATTCTTGGATTAAAGGACTTAAAACATTTTTTAGGCATTCATAATCCTCCTGTCCTGTATAAAGTGCTAAAGAATAATGATTGCTGGGACTAAAAATATTTTCATGATCATTTAACAATGCAAATGTTATCATGACTTGTATTATTTTTCTTCCAACATTTCTTCCATCCCCTGAAATTCGTATATAAAGGAATTCATCACTATCTTTTAATATTCCATTTTCAATAAAATAAGGAATTAAAGAATAAAGAATATCTTTAATATTTCTTCGAACTCCATTTCCATGTGATTCTTCTGCTACTAGTATATTTTCACTTATTTCTTCTGTATCATCATCAATATCCATGTCATTTGTAACACTTTTTACAGTTTTTTCAAATGATGTATTGAAAGTAAAAATTGGTATTTTTTCAGATTGATTTTTTTTTTCTTTTTTTCAATATTGTGTTCACGAGGTAAAGAGTTCACTATTGCTGTTAATGCTCTATATGAATCTCTACCAATATTATGTTCATCTAATACTTTGACAATAGCTTCTTCTTCAGCATTTGAATTTTTTTTATCATAAGTAAGTTCATATTGAGTGCCATTTGTTTCAAATGTTGTTTTGACCAATGTTGCTTGTTCCAAGTTTTTATTAATATTTAAAGCAGATGATTTACTATTTTCAAATGTCTGCAGTATACTTTGGCCTATTGATATAACCCTTGATCTCTGAGTTGAAGTTGATAAATTATCAAAAGAATCAATTTTTTTCTGATATGTTTTTCTTTAGGAGGGTTTTGTTCACAATAATCCTTAAGGCACTGCAATTGTAACCCGAATATTAATGGTCCTGACTTTCTTGTTCTTGTACTATCTCCTTCAAATCACTTTAAAATTATTCAAATTAATAAATTTTTTTTAATTATTCAAAAAATAATAAATAATATAAAATGAATTTACTTTCAAAAATAAATCAACAGCTTCTGTTGCTGATTTTATAAAAATTACATTAAATTTATTAACATCATCAACCCAATCAATTCGATAAACAGGATCATTATTTTTATTATAATTAATTGAGCATGTTATGGTATTTTTTACAAATGTTGTTTTGATCTTATAATTATCAGGAATAGGGTGGGAACTTCCATGAGTAGTTTTATAGTTTTCAGGATAATGTCCTATATTTATAACTTCATAAATGAAATTACTACTGACTGAACCTTTGTTGGTGTATTTAATAATGGGATCATTGGGATAATTGCTTTCTTCAATGGAATTATTTGTTGGATTCATTTTAAATTGTTAAAGATAATGGCAATTTATAGGAAATATAATTTAAATAAATGTTGAATCAAAGAGTAAATTTTTTATTATTTTATTCCAAATAATTATTTCTTTATATACTTCTTTCAATGTGAAATGAAACATCTATATACAATGAAGTTTTAATTGTAGAATACAAGACACATCTCTAAATCAATTAAAACTACCAATTATGTATATTGAATTTTACATATCATGGAAAATTAATAAATAAATCGGAAAATTAAAATAAATTTATGAAAGTTGCACGAAAAGAAATCGGAAAATTCAAAGTCCATTATTTAATACCAATAAAATAATTGACTCACGGAAAATATTTCAAACAACAGAGAAGTAAATATTCTAACATTCTAAATGTAAGATCTTAATTCTCAGATTAAATTTAAACTAAGGAATTTAAATGATTAGATCACTTTAGAAATAACTTGAAAATAATTCTATACGGAAGGTTCAAATAATACATTTAATTAAAATAAATTAGGATTTCAAAGAAATTGGAGAACTAGATGATAGAACCTTTAACATGTATAAGCAGCATTGTAATTTTTTCAGCTTTGTTTATCATTTTTATCATCATCTTTATAATCATCTTTATAATCATCTTTACCAATCATCATAATAATTTAATAAATAACAAACTGTTTTTAACCTTGTCCTTGCCCTTTTCCTTGTTGTTTTTGAATATTATATTTTCGTAATGATAATAAATCTATGTCTAACAATACTAATTCCGTGCATAATTATTTTCTCTTATTTTATATTTGTCTCTATTTTTTTATTATTTTTTATTTCTTTTCTTTTTTTTTAGTGAGGTAATAATATCTAATGAATTTTATTTAGTAATTTTGGAAAACATACCTGACTTGAGTAGGAGCAACCCACAAGAAACATGATCAGGATATAGTGTAAAATTTAAAGAAGTTTAGTATTGCTTAGTATAAGGAATTGTTTAACGATAATGATAGATAATTTTGAAAGTAAAGCATAAATATACAGATTTAGTATAAATAAATTAGAAGTAATTGTATAAATATTGTTGGCATTGTAAATAAATAAAACATTGAGGTCGCGGATAATTTTATGATCAGGATATAGTGTAAAATTTAAAGAAGTTTAGTATTGCTTAGTATAAGGAATTGTTTAACGATAATGATAGATAATTTTGAAAGTAAAGCATAAATATACAGATTTAGTATAAATAAATTAGAAGTAATTGTATAAATATTGTTGGCATTGTAAATAAATAAAACATTGAGGTCGCGGATAATTTTACAATATCAAATATAAATTTGTGTAACCATTTTTAATTTTCAAATAGTGCGTCATTAATTTGACATGATCAACGATCAGGGGAAATTTGTAAAAAATAATTAGCAGTAATGTCCTATTCTTTCTTTACCAATACTAACAAATAGATCATATATTTTTCCTGCTCTTTCCTTTGTTTTTTTCAACGCATCATTGGCAATATCATTGGGAAGTTGTTTTCGGATCTCATCATTAACAAGAGCCAGACACGCATGTTCCCCATGCTTCAAATTTCTGTAATGATCAAAACATTTTTTTATAGCTACACCAAAGTTGTAATAACATTTTATAACTTCTCTATTTGCAATTATATGTTTAGATTCGGCATGTAAAATTTTTCTATAGTGATATAAAAAATTATTGGTATTCTCACTGACTTCTATTACTTCCTCAGGAATTTCGGGTGCAGTAGTTAATAGTTCTTCAATAAGTTTTTTCAACATAGGAGAGTCTTCCTTCTTCTTTACCAGTTTCTTAGCTTTTTTATTGGATGATGAATCAGTAGCAGGTTCACCAATGCGTTTAGATGGTAAATTAGTTGTGGTGACATCAGGATTAATAGTGGCGGTGTTGGAGTCGGGATGGGTTGATTCTGTTAACAAACCCCCTTTGACTTCCTCATTGGAATTCTCATTGGAATCCTCATTCATAATTTCATCCACTGATTCAAGAGGATCGATTTGTAAATTCTTCCCTAGATTACCAACTATAGATGATACTCCACTCAACTGAGAATCATGCCTAGTATAATCTATTATCTCAAGCTTTTCATTACAATTGGGATAAGGGTATACATTCAAATAATCAAGTAAAATCTTATTTTCAAGACAAAGTCTATGGAACGCATGTCCACATTGCAATGTTGTGAAAGATTTGATATGAGGAGATGAAAAAATTTTCTTATTACATTCTGGACATTGCCCTAGCTTTGGAATATCCATACCATCGACAATGGGTTCTTTGAATTCTTTTAAGATATTATATGCAAGGGCTTTGAGATTAGAAATAGCCATAGTATTGATTTTTTATAAGTTAAAGCGTTCCATTCCAATAATGCTTTGTTTTTATAATGTTAGTATTTCCGCAAGTCAAACAATCAATAAATTAGTAATTTCGGAGCAATATTTCTCATGAATAGGGTTAATTTATTCTCTATGGACGATCTCAGACGATTTACCTACCCTACAACAAGCACACTAATTAATTAGACGTTTTTCTATGGGTGATCCGTTACCTTTGCCAATCATAATATTTGCATAATTTCTCTGATAGGTAGGCCTGAATCGATGTCAAAAAAACAAGCTTAATGCATGGAGTGCACTTTCTCTTTTTTATACAACAACAATACACACCTCTTATTTTGGAAGAAATGGTATTCGTGGAGTCATGAATTTTTTTTTTGGAAAAAGTGATCAGTGTTATAAATTATAACATGCATGTGATTTTTTACGATATTTTGAATAAATCTATTTCTTATATAAATGAACATGACATTGGAACTTGAATCATTGAAACAAGAGAATGCCAGACTTATGGCTAGAATTGTAGAATTGGAGCAGACTGCAAAAGAAAAAGATGAGCTTAAAGCTGAAGTAGCAAAATTAAGGCGTGATTTTGAGGAGCTCAAACAGCGAACTCAAGTACTTACTAATGTGCAAGACACGTCTTCTATTGTAAATATCTCACCTAATAATTTCGATTCAGAGTCTAAATTGTTAGAAGATAAAGAGGTCAATGAATTCCTGGAATCAGAATGTAAAAGAAGTGTTAGTAATGAGATAAGGGAGAGAAATGGGGAAAAGAAGATTCAACATACCATTTTTTCTGAAATAAATTCTACAACTGAAATTTCCCAAGATACCATATCTACTATAAACAATGATCGAAAAACAATTCAATCAGAATGGGCAAAGCCCAGAGTCGAAGACTCATCTCAAACTTTTGCTGAATCAGAGCAAATAACCATTGATCAGGTACAAGATAATATTTCTTCCGAAATAGCGAAACTAAAGAAAATTCCCTATAACCAGAAAGTAGAGCAAGGTTTAAGGCATGAATTATCTGTTTGCGTCAAAAATGATAGTAGTGGAATTAATAGTGGAGCTAGTGCCAAGGCACATAATGTATTTGATATACAGATTCCCAAATTATCTTTAGAAGCAATTATAAGAGGATCTAATAAAATTACAACACAAAATATAGTTGATTTATTTAATGTTGCTATAAAGACTAGACAAAAGGAGATTTTATGCTGGTATTGTTACTATAAAGCATATGAGGAACGAATCAAAGATATTACAGTCAGGATTTTTTCCAAATTTGGAATTTCTAAATACTGTAATGATCAACATTCTGGAATACAATTGAAAATTCTAAAATTGTGTGCAACATTCTTACCCCCTTAAAAAAATTTTTTTTTTCCCTCGGTATATTAATATATGGGGCATGGACAATAGAAACGACCCAAACGTCAAAAATCATGATTTTGAGTTAATAACATTCCTATATGTAATTCATTGCAAAGATTAATTTTAGCTTAGAAACCATACCCACTTTGCTTAATAAAATTTTGAGTTATTTAAAAAAAATTGCAAAGACATAAGAACCAAAAATTGATGTTATACTACTAAAACAAGTAATGATAAACATAAATCCAGGAATTTGGTTCAAATAATGTAACACGAAATTTATTAAATAATTTTTGTAATAAAAACAAACGGAAAATAAAAATTTAAAATCCATTTTGTCACAACACAAATAATTAAATTTATATTTTAAAAAAATGACTTCTACACATTTATTTTTTAACAATATTTTTTCTGAAACACATCCTGATTTAATTGACTTAGAAGAATCTTTTGCAAATTTGAGAATAAGTTATATGTCTAGTTCAATTATTAACAAAAATGAAGAAAGAGTTGGTGAAGCAGAAGTAAGCTATGATGAAATAGAAGAAAGTGATGATGAAATAGAAAAAAATGATCATGTATCAGAAACATTGTCTAAAGAACAAATAGATAAATTTAAAAATATTTATAATAAAAATAAAATAATAGATGACCAAGTTATTGATTCTGAAGAACAAATGGAAATAGATAATGATATAAACCATTATATAGAAAATTTAGTACAAAAGAATTGCTGTCAAAAAGAATGTTTGAAAAAGAATTTAAATTCTAATAATATTAAAACTAGATATAAATGTTTTCTTAATTTAAGAAAAACTGAGCAAGACATTTTTTTGAAAGGCATTCTTTCTGCTAGTTTGAGAAGTGAAACAACTGCCAAAAAAGAAAAAAGAATAAAATTTGCAAATATTTATTTTTTTGATGGAACAGAAATTTGTAGAACTGCATTCATGGGTATCTATGGCATAGGTGATACAAGATGGAAAAATATTAGAAGTCATTTTAATGATTTTGATATACAATTAAGAACAAGTTCATTAACAGGGAAAGCAAGTAATAGAGCAATATCATTTGATGGAGTTTTGCAGATTATTAAATTCATATTAAATTATTCTAATATAAATGGACTACCATCTCCAGGTAAATAAAAATAAATTATTAACAAACTTTAAAATTAAAATGGGAACTTATTAATCAATGTAATTTATTATAGGAAGAAAATTTAAAAAAGACACAAAGAATATTATATTTCTT